TTCAAGACCAGGGCTGCCTCCTTCTGAAGGTTCCAGCAGAGAAAGGCCCACGCCTGTCTCCTGCCCCGCTGGTGCCCTTCGCTTGCAGACGCATCGCTTCGGTCTCCACAGCCATCTTCCCATCACCTTCTCCGGTGTCCCTGAGTCCTCTCCTCTTATAACGACACTGCATTAGGGTGGGGTGGGCACCTCACCTTCAAGCCAAGATGCCTTCATCTCTAGACCCCTAATTAATTACATCAGCAAACTCTCCAAATAAGGTCACATTCTGAGGTTCCTGGCGGACTCGAATTTCAGGGAGACGCTATTCAACCAACTACACCCCCCAAATGGTACCTCTAGCCCAGACTCAGATACCCACTTAGAACAATCAGAAACATCTCAGATTTCTCCTCTCCAAGCCCTGCCGGTCTCAGCGACGGACGACACCTTCCAGTTGTCAGGACACAAGCCACGGTGTTTCCCCGAGTTCTCTCCTGTTCCCCATTGAACACGTCAGCAAATCCTCTTCGCTTCCTCCTAGGATTAATTTATATCCTGGATCCCAAATCCAGTGGCCCTGCCCCCTGACAGCCTGGACGGACCACATTTTCACCTTCCCAGGGTTCCTCTGCCCTCAGCAGCCTGTTCTCCATTCGACAAAGTGGGGCTTTTAAAATTATTCGAATCCTGTCTGTTTGACATTCTCCAGGGGTGCCCCAAATACATCAGAAAAGACTTGGCATCCTAAGCATGACCTCCAGAGCCCACACTGGATGTGCCCTCCTGTGCGCTCGCCCCCTCCCTGCCTTATCTCCGCCCTCCCCCACCCCACCTCCTGCTGTTGACATCAGTCACCCTGGCAACCCAGCTTCTCCTTGAGTTTGCTCAGCATATTTCTGACTGGGGCGGGGGAGAGGGGAGGTCTTTGTCCTTGCTATTTCTCTGCTCACAGCAGCTTCCAGAGTCCTGCTCTGCACTGCCTGCCTGGCACCCTTGCTGGTTTGCCGTCACCAGCGTGCAAGGCCAGGAGACAGGGAGCTCTGCCTGTTCTCACTGCTGAGCCCCACGTGTCCGTCTGGGACATGGCCTCGCCAAGGGCAAACTCCCAAAATACTTGCTGAGGGAACGAATAAGTGAAGTAGTGATTGGCATGAAAATTAAAGGGTGTGGGTTTTTTGAAAGCTTTGCTTATTTTTGCAGCAATCTTTAGGCCTGATCTCGTATCAGCCTCTAGTTGATGCAAAGATAGGGGGAGATAGCCACAATCTGGGGCAAGCCACCTTTGTGATTTGTCATTTCAAAAAGGGAAGAGGTTTTCACTTGAAAGAGAAAATATGTAGGTGGCCTTTATGTGGGACACTTACGCGAAGCTCAGCGGGGCCAGGCAACTTCCCTTCCGACTTCTCCTTGCTCTGGGCCCCCACACACGGTCAGCGCCTCGCCAGAAGCCACCGACATCTGTAAACGCCTTGTGCAACAAAGCTTCTCAGTCACACAAGACACAGACAGGCTCTGGCATCTGGACAAGTCATTTCAGGGGGATGCATGCAACCCCACCGGGGCCTTTTCACTTTGGGATTTCCTTTCAAAGCTGAAATTCCCTCCAGCTTACATTACTAAAGAGGGCGAGCCAAGGACCTGGAAGTGACAGTCAGGACACTGGAGGGAGTGGGCGCGGGCCCGGGCTCACTGGGCTAGAACCGCTTGGACACAGTCTGGACTGGACTAGGAGGACACGGGGACCAGACCTCGCAGCTTGGTCAGCAGCTGACGGGCTCTGCTGCTCATCCCTGGGAGCTGCGGACGCGCTTGTCTCTCTGGGCCTCAGTTCCCTCAGGTGTGACACGTGGGCATGTGGCCACCTCTCGGGGTGTGTTTGACATGCAGTGGACATTACAGAGTCCAGAGCTGAAAGGGCAGGAGCACACAGGTGATGCCGCAGCCATCTCAGACAGCGATGGCACATCTACTTTTAGATGAAGCCACTGTCAGAGGCTGCCGACGCCTGCCAGAGGCACAGCCGCAGCTCCAGGTGATGACTGCAGACGCGCGGCCAGTGACGCCGCCTGGGAGCCATCTTCTCAGAAAGCTGGTAGGGAAGTTACTCACTGGTGTCAGGTTTACAGGTACAGGCACTGCAACAGTCGGTGCTTTACATACAGGAACCCCCAATGGAGGAAGTGGGGCTGGAGGAACAAGAAAAGAAGGGAAAAACAAAACAGCCACAAGAGGTGGGTGGCTGCTGTCCTTCCTGCCACCTGGAGGAAACGCGAGGCTAATTAAGGAGACGCCAGAGTTTCGAGTATTTAGGTTACTTGGCAGAGCCTAAAAACTTCCCCTACTGAGTGGGACAGAGAAAGCCCTCCACCTGCTGCTCCAGCCGCGGGAGGAAGAGCTCGCACAGGTCCTGCCCGGGCACCCCAGCCCCAGGGCCCCGGGCTTGGTCCCCACTGCCATCTCCGCACCCCACTTCTGTCCCCACCCTTTGGGACTGGGCCCAGCACGGATGGCTGTCCCTGCTCTCGCCGTCACCTCCGGACCGAAGCTGAGATTGGCTCAGGGGTTCTTGGCAAACTTGTGTGCGCGTCCGGGCCTCATGGCGCACACTGCACACGTGGCCAGCCTGGTCCCTGAAGAGTTGCTGCTGCTGACCTGTGGCCTCGGGCTGGAGGGAAGGTCAGTGGCAGCCATGAAGCACAGGCTCCATTCTGAACCACACGGCCGCCATTGGCCCAGTTTCTGTGGTCCCCAAGTTCATGGAGTGAAAGGCCCTTAGATTTATCGAGCGCTTCCCATTGTGCCGGGGTCCCCCACTTCCCCACGCTGACCTCTGCTGGAACACAACCTCTTGGGGAAGGGGAGGGCTGTCTTGGCGGTGGCCCGGCCTGCCCCACTCCTCTCAGGAGCCCCTCAGCATCGCCCACCCCGGAGGACACGTGCCAGGAGGCGTCACCTGAGTTAAACAGGAGGCATCACCTCAGGAAAACCTGCATCATCTGACTTCAGGGTGGCGCCCAGAAAGTTCAATTTTTTAACAAACTCCCTTAAGTGATTCTGATGTTAGCTGAATTTGAGAACCACTGATTAAATAAGAAGGTTCTTTTTCCTCAAAACCCAGGTCTCAGTTGGACCCTTATATACTTACACTTTTTCACATATAACAATTTTCACTGACACTAGCAACTGATATGAAATTACTACTTTAAGCCTAAAAAAAATCTCAGATTTTCAAAAAATTATCATGCCTGAGTAGTTTGCATTTACAACATATAGTACTTCAACTCCTCTGTCCTATCCTTTCTGTAATTATTTCCACGTATTTTGCTTCAGCACATGTCATAAACCTCATTTACTATTTTCTTCAATCTTTTACAGAATTGATTGTAAGAAAAAATATTTTTAATATCTACTTTATTTTTACTTTTTTTTTTTAAGATTTTTATTGGGGAATTGCGGGAAGGGGAACAGAGAAGTTGCTGTCCTTTTTTTGTTCTTCAGTCTAGTTATGGAGGACGTCGCTTCACTGGCCTAAGTTCACACCATCATTGCGCTCTTCCCAGGTGAGGCAGATCAGTCTCCGGCTTCTGGACGGCCGCTCACTGCGGCTGCTGGCCGCTCACGCTGGCTGCTGGCTACATACGGTAGCCCATGGCAACCCACTGCAGCAGGGTCTGCAGCCTACGCCGTCGCAACTCATGGCAGCCCAGCTCCAGGTCGAGCTGTTGTTCAGCATCTTAGCTGTGGAGGGCAGTGTCACTGGCCCTCATATGTGGGATCCGAACCGGGGCCCTGTGGCATCCCAAGCCAGCTCTTAACCAACGCGCCACTCGGCCGGCCCTATTTTTACTATTTCTGGTGCTCTCCATTGTTTTGTGTGTAGATCAAAATTTTTATCTGGTATAATTTTCCTGCAGCCCAAAGAACTTCCTTCAACATTCTTTTGTAGCACAGCTCTGTTGGCAATGAGTTATCTCAGTTTTTGTTTGTCCACAAAAGTTTAATTTTTTGCCTTCAACTTTGAAAAATATTTTTACTGGGTATAGAAATCTGGGTTAATAATTTTTTTTCCCTTTTAGTACTTTTAAGGTGTCACACCATTATCATCTAGCTTTCATAATATTGGACAAGAAATCTGTTCTAATTGTCTTTTTTCTTCTATGTATAATGTTTTCCCCCCTGGATGCATTCTATTTTCTCCTTGTCTTTGGTTTTTAACACTTTAGTTATGACATGTCTCAAGTGGGTTTATCTATCTATCTATTGGTTGTTTTTTTGTTTTGTTTTGGATTTGTTTTGGCTGCTGTTTTTTATTTATACTGTTGAGGTTCTCTGAGCTTTGTGGATCTGAGGTTTACTGTCTTACATTATTTTTGGAAATTTCTTAGCCATTCTCTTTGTTTCTTATACTCTATTCATTCTCTTTTATCCTGGGACTCCAATTGCAAGTATGTTAGATTATTTTATATGTCCCACAGCTCTTGGATGTCCTTCTGTTTTGGTCACCCTATTACTCTTCTTGTGTATCATTGTATATGTTTTCTATTAACCTATCTTCAAGCTCATTAATCTTTCTTCAGCTGAGACTAGTCTACCTATTAGCCGGCTAAAAGAATTATTTATGTTTTCTATAATTTTTTTTATTTGTAGCAATCCTGGTTTTCTCTTACAGCTCCTATCTCTGTTTAAATTTCCCATCTGTTCATGCATGCTATATACTTTTTTCTCTAATTATGTAACGTATTTATCTTGGTTATTTTACAGTCCCTGTCTCACAGTTTCAACATCTAGGTCATGTCTAGTTCTGGTTCTGTTGATTGCTTTATCTATTGGCAACGAATTCTTTTTGTTTTGTTTTGCTTTTTTGTGTCAAGTTTTGATTGGCTGCTGAAAATTATGCATACGTAGCAGAGACTGAAGTAAGCTGTTCTCATGCCCACAAAAATCATTTTATGTATGGTGCAGGGGCAAGGCGGTTGTCAACCTAGTGACGAGTTGAGCTGGGTTTGGGTTTTGTTCTGTCTTTCATCATTACTTTCTGTGCACCACGGGCTTCAGGACCCTCGAGGCTACCCCAGCGCTGAGGGGCTGGAGGCTTCCTCTCGGTGTTCCTGCCCCCTCTTCCCCTCCCAGCCCTTCCTGCATGCCTGAGCCAGGAAAAGCGTCTCTCTCCTGCTCCTGCCCCTCCTGCAGAAATATTAGCAGACAGCTATTGCTCATTCCGTGTGCCCAGCTGCTAGTGACTGAAGGAGGGTGCTGTGCTGCCCTGTGGATCCGGGCCTTGGAGGCAGGGTTTCTAAGCACTCCTGCTCCGCCTCCCCATAAAGCCAAACGTGGCCTTGTGTTTGTGGTTGGTCTTAGGTAGGAGGACGTTTGTTGTCCTTACCCTGCGACACTGGGTCTTTTCATGAGTCCTGGGGTAAGAGGCTTAACTGCCTTTCAGTAGCTCAAGGCTTTTGCTTATACTGGCAGAAAACGATAATGGAGAAAGGACAGAGTTATGTGTCTGTTTCCCAAAAGCCGCCAATGGCCTCCTCAAGCCTGTGGCACTAACGGGTTCTTTCCAGGCCCCACCCCCAAACTCTCTTGGAAAGGGTGGTAGAAAAGAGTCTGCAAGTGCCTATGAACTTCCCTGCGTCCCAGGCCTCCCTGCATTTGAACTGATCTGTTAGCCCAAATGCTTTAAAGCTCACTGCTTCGTTCTTACCCTGGTATGGCAGCCGCCTCTTACCCGCCTCTGCCACGCTTGGCCGAGATCATGCGTCCTGTCTCTCCCGAAGGGGCTTTCTTGTCTTTGGGATTCAGCTCACGTAGTCGCCTTGCCCCCAAAGGTCTTTGAAGGGCTCACAAAAAGCTGTGATTTTGTAGGTGACATGGCATTGCCTTATTGTGAGCATGGGAGCGATCTCCCCGAGGCTGTCTGCACAGAAACAAGGGGCAGAGCATCTCGTGGCTGGCATTTAATCCTAAACACTTGTGTCATTCTGGGGGCTGTGACAAATCAACTCATCCCCTTCCCAAGAGATGCTCACCTTTTAGTAATACGTTCAGTTCCCCTCATTCTAGGACTGGGTAAAATCCGGAAGAGCCCTGACCAGGCTGAGGTGACACACCAGGTAAAGGCTTAATGCAGTGTGGGGTCAGTGACCACAGGCCGTGTCCCAAGGGGGGCAGAAGGTAAGGCAGGGACTGGCTCTCACGAGCTGGGCCAAAACCACAAGGGGAAGCCATGGGAATTGTGACTCGAGGAAATACACCTGCAGAGTCGATCATTAAACTCGAAAGATGGGCAGAGTCCTAATTTCAGGGAAGATCCCGTGGACCGCCTGGGACCAGGTGCTAACCTCACTCTCACTGGCTTTGCTCCCGCAGGACTCAGCCCATCCTTGGCTGACCTAGTCAGAATGCTGTGAGTGATGCACATTCAACTGCCAGGGTCAGGATGGCCAGACTAGAAGAGGCGGCAGACATGGCCAACACCATGGACGAGGGAACGCTCAAACAGCACTGTCTTTGGGTCACCTGCCATCAGCCGAGTTGAGTGTCATTGATCTGTGGTTCTGTGAGGAGCTCCGGTTATGGTCACTAGAGAGAAAAGAAGGCCATGACTCTACCTGCCAGATGCTTCAAAGTCAGGGGTTGCAAAGCGGTCCTCACTGATTAGCTGTGCATCTGTCCATTTTTAGGGAAAAAAAACAGCAAAGCATCATTTCTAACCTGAAAGGAATGCTGAGTTGTTCCCTAGGCAGGTGCTTCTCACGCTTGAACAAGCCCATGAATGTCATGAACTCTTGTGAAATCTCAGCTGCTGATGCCACAGCCCTGGGCAGGGCCCGAGAGGCTGCGTTTCTAACGAGCTGCGGGCAACACAGAGCTGATACAGTGCGAGGACCCCACTTTGAGCAGCAGGTGCTGGAACGTGGACCACGAGCTGGATGTGGGCCCACTGAGCTTGAAGGGCACCACACACACACACACACACACACACACAGCTCTCCCACCAGGTATGCTCAGAGGCTGGTGATGGCGCAAATGAGAAACTCCACAAGCTGGCAGAACGGAAGTCTCTCGCCATTAGGACCTGAAACTGAGACTTTATAAAGGGCATCGGTGAGACAGCCGGGACTTCCCCAGGTCTCACAGGCAGACCCAGCACGCAGCACAAGCACCAGTGCCAGTTCCACTCAACAGGTCTGTGATCCTACACCAGCCTTACCAAGCACCCGCTCTCAGCCAGACACGAAGCGAAGCCTTTTTAGGTGCGCTGCTACCCCAGAGGCCATTACTTACTTTTCCAAACGATGCACCCTGTGCGAATGAATGATTACCATCCACCTGGAAAATGTAATAAATCTGTCACTCATCCATTTCTCTTCTTTCTGTCCACATGTTTCTAATCCCCTAACACCTGGAATTCACCTGCGGGCAACGGGCTTTCCTTGTCACTGTCGTTACTTAGTCCCCTAGTGTTTCTGCTTGAGTGTTGCCTCTGTATTGAGTGACACAGTGTTTGCTAAAGCCAACTGCTGAGATCATCTTCTAAAGTTACCACCTGTTTGAAAATGTGCACATGGAGTCAGGTGACACGCTTAAAGAAAGGTCTTAGGCAAGACACGTTCCCATAGCACAGAGCTCATGGGATCTTAACAACGGATCTGTCAGCAGGGAAGTCGTCACCAATAACAACAACAAGTTCTCTCTGGTGTTTTATTTAAATGTTTTATTTAAGGGGGAATATCGTCTCTAGGAATCTGTTGTCTTTTTTGCAAAAGCTTTGCTCTCAGCCTCTCAGCAGCACAAATTCCATATTAAACACGTAATAGCTATTAGGACCACTTACATGCAGGCATTCAGTATAGTACAATGACTTCCAGGCCCCAGGTGTACAGTCCCAAATCCATCTCTATCTGATTATTAGTTCCTACAAGACACTATTCCTATAGGTCATTCCTGTCCCCATATCACGGCGCAGGTCTTAGAGCGCCGGGCTGCAGAAGTAAGGCAAGTCTCCCTGGAGGGCCCCGGGAAGGCCAGGTGTCTGGGCAGCTGCAGCGTGGGGAACAGGGCCATGGACACGTGGGGCGAGAAGTGCGGAAAGGCCGCTGGAGGAAGCCCACCTGCTCCGGAATTCCGTCCCACCAGCAAGGCCCGGGTCCGGGCGGAGCTGCTTCGGTGCCCAGTCAGATCTGACTCAAATCACCGACTGTCCGGGTTCTTTAGAGGAGAAATCAAAATCTAACTGCTTTTTGGATAAACTGATAAGATTGTATTTGAGAGAGTAAAAGGCAATTTAAGTGACAGCTGGTTTTTGCACCGAATCCATTCTCCCCTCATTTCGGATACATGGTCACTCAGCTGGAAGATATATTGTCAAAAGACCTGAAACAATAAACTCCATAGAAGAAAGCATAGATACTAAACTTATGGATTTTGGGGTCAGAGAGGATTTTATGAATTTGACCTCAAAGGCAAGGGAAGTAAAAGCAAACATAAAAATGAATGGGACTATATCAAACTAAAAAGCTTCTGCACAGTAAAAGAAACCATCAACATAATAAAGAGGCAATGAACAGGATGGGAGAAGCTATTTGCAAACAACACCTCCAATATAAGGTTAATATGCAAAATACACAAAAAACTCGTACATCTTAACAACAAAAAACCAAATAATCCAATTTAAAAAATGGGCAGAGGACCTGAACAGTCACTTCTTGCAAGAAGACATAAAAATGGCCAATTGATATATGAAAAAATGCTCAACTTCACTAGCTATTAGGGAAATGCAAATCAAAACCACAATGAGATAGCACCTCACACCACTTAGAATGGCATCATCAACAAGACAAGTACTAGCAAGTGTTAGAGAGGCTGTGGGGGAAAAGGAGCCCTCATACACTGCTGGTGGGAATGTATATTGGGCAACCGCTATGGAAAACAGTATGGACGTTCCTCAAGGAGTTAAGAATACAATTACCATACAACTCAGCAATCTCTCTCCTGGGTATCTACCACAAAAAATCTGAAAACATTTATCTGTAAAGATAAATGTACCCCTGTGTTCAGTGCAGCATTATTCACTGTGACCAAGACATGGAAACAGCCAGTGTCCTTCGATAGATGATTAAAGAAGGTGTGATATATATACACAAGAGAATACTGTCATTTGCAACAACATGGATGGATCTTGAGATTATCATGGTAAGTGAAATATATCAGACAGAAAAAGTCAAGAACCATATGATTTCACTCACATGTGGGATATAAAACTGAAAGCAACAAACAAACAAGACAAATAAACAAACAAACAAAAATAGACACAGACAACAGTTTAGTGGTTACCAAAGGGTTACAGGGAGGGGGTGGTTGAAGAGGGAAAAGGGGTCTAATACATGGTGACAGAAGAACTGGCTCTGGATGGTGAACACACAATGCAATAGACAGATGATGTATTACATAATTGTACACTTGAAACCTATACAATTATACTAATCAATGTCACCCCAATAAATAAATTTTTTTTTTAAATTGAAGGGCCAGGGCTAGCTGAGTGGCGCGTTGGTTGGGAGCTGGTTTGGGACGCCAGCTCTGAGCAGCAGGGCCTGGGTTCGGATCCCACATGAGGGCCAGTGACACTGCCCTCTACAGCTAAGATGCTGAACAACAGCTCGACCTGGAGCTGGGCTGCTGTGAGACCCCGGCGACGCTGTAGGCTGCAGCCCCTGCTGTAGTGGGTTGCCATAAGCTACCATGTGTGGCCAGCAGCCAGCGTGAGTGGCCAGCAGCCGGTGTGAGCTGCCAAGAGCCACTGTGAGTGTCTGTCGAGAGGCCGGGGACTGATCTGCCTCACCCAGGAAGAGCGCAATGATAATACCAACATGGGCCAGTGAAGCGACGTCCTCCACAACTAAACTGAACAACAACAACAAAAAGTTGTTGAACAACAACAGCAACTTGTCTGTTCCCCTTCCCCTGATTCCCCAATAAAATCTTTAAAAAACAAACAAAAAAATGAAGGAGTTAATATTTTAGTTTAGACTAAAACTATCTAAAAATTTAAGTTAAGGAATCTACTAACTGGGATGTATAAAATTAATGTCTAACTCCCTCCACTGTAAGAGTTTCGCAGACAAAAACGGTCCAGGTCAACTCCCGGGGAGAGAAGGTGAGGCAGCAGGTCCGAATGCTGAGTGGTGCAGGAACTGCCTTAGAATCTGGACAAAATGAGAGGTTGCCTCACCCTCCTGGGCAAAGTCTAACTAGGGTTGATTGAATTACAGTGAGGCACGCCCTGGGGCACTAAGCAACTGAGTCCAGTCAAATGATCCTGCTGTCCCTTGTCCCTATTAGATACGTTTGCTCGTGTCCAAATGTCAGTTGTTTTGTCTCCAGCCCCCTGTTGAAATTGGGACATTTTCAATTTCTCAATAGTCCAACTCAGACCACTTCTTCCATCCCACCCTTGCATGAGCTCACAGAGTCCCAGGGACAGATGCTGGGCACCGGCCAGTGACATCTTCAAAAGGAGGGGTATTTTGACCACTTTAAACAAATCTCACTGTACAGAAATGTGGACCAATGTTGCTATTCAAATATAACTCTTCTCTCTTGGGGCAAATGTTCAGTGAGGTCATTCATTGTCCTTCGCGCTGCATTTGAAGCAAAAAATAAAGAGAAAAGGGATTTACCTTTTATTTTTTCTCTAAGAGAAAAAAATAAGCTAGCATACTTCTAGAAATAAAGGGAATTTTCACAGGAATTTTGTAAACGTAATACATTTTGTAAACACCTTCATCTCCCAACACACAATATGTACCATTTGTCTTTAGGGAAAACACCACAGTTTGTTAATTCCATTTATTTTCTAAAATAAAAATCATTATATAATAAAAGCAGAGAATCCTCCAAGAGTCTGACATAATAAATACAGACTTTGAACACATGCTGCCTCAATTTAATACACATGAACTGATGTATAGGTACAATTACCTCCATTTTTGAGATGATCAACTGACAGGTTAGATAACTGAGTCAGGGTTCAACCAGTAAAATACGTATATATTCAGTCTCTAAGTCCGTTTTCTGTGCCTCTGATGCTGGAGCCTAAAGTCCACAGGACAGACAGACACGAAGGAAAATGGATATAAATCGGGAAAAATGAATGGCAGCTGAGCCCGAAGGCCTGAGCTGGAACCCCATGAGGACGGACTGGCGCCTGGGTCAGTTCCTGTTGTGTCTGACCTTGGCAACAAGGATGCCCTGTAGAGCCAGTGCCCTTTGTCACAGAGCTAAACACATACACCTGGCCAGGAGCCAGACCAGATAGAGGGGATCAGGCTGCATAAAGTCACAAGCCCAGGATTTATACATAGAAAATCAGGTAGTTTGTAAATATGGATGGTTTTGTATCGTCTTTCAAATCTGTGTTCCTTCTATTAACTTTTCTTGCTTTATTGCACTGGCTATCACTCCCAGTACAATATTAGATAGGCGTGATGAGAGGGGACATTCTTGTCTCGTTCCCAATCTTAGAAGGAAGGCATTCATTTCTTCACCAGCATGTGAGCTGTAGGTTTTCTGTTGATTGCTCTATCAGAGTGAAAAAGCTCCTTTCTATTCCTAGTTTTCTGAGTTTTTAAAATCATGAATGGATGTTGAATTTTACCCAATGTTTTATCCATATCAATTGACATGATCATGTGGTGCTTTTTCTAATGTTAACATGCTGAATTACATTGAGTGTTTTTCAAATATTAAACTACCCTACCATTCCCCAGATAAACGAAATTTAGTCATCGTATATTATTTATCTATTGCTGGATTCAATACCCTAATGTTTTGCTAAATGTTTTTGTATCCATGTTTACAAGGGACATCAGTGTGTTTCCTGTTCTTGTATTGTCTTTATCTGGTTTTGGTACCGGGGTAAAGCTGGACTCTAAAATGAATTTGGAAGTGTTCCCTCTTCTTTGAATTTTTTTTTCTTTTCTTTCTTTTTTTTAGCTGAGCCATCCTGCCACCTGCTGGCAGCTCAGTGGCAGCTCAGCTGGGGCCGGGACTCAAACTGCTATTGCTCAGAGCTCGCACTCTTGAGCGAGCTCTTAACTAAGCCACTCGGCCAGCCCTCTCTTCTTTGAATTTGACAAGACTTAGTAAAGGATTTGTATCGTTTTGTCTTTACATATTTGGTAGAATTTACCAGTGAAATCATCTGGTTCTTGAGTTTCTTTTTTTGAAAGGTTTTTAGCTTCAAATCCAGTTTCTCTAATAGATTTAGGACCATTCAGGTTTATTCCTCTTGAGTGAATTTTGGTAGTTTGTGTTTATCAAGGAATTTGTCTATTTTATCTAAGCTGTCAATTTTATGTGCATAGTGTTGTTTGTAGTATTCCTTTATTATCCTTTGAATGTTGGTGCAGCATATTTATTTTATTTATTATTATACTAGCAATTTGTGTCTTCTTTTTCCCTATTAGAG